GCCCAGACAAACACACACACAGCATGGATGGTCCTCGACTTATGAGCACCATTATGACCTAATGTTTTGGTTCTTATGCGAGAGGTTTGATAAGGGAGTTTTGCCCCGCTTTACGACCTCTCTGGCCACCGTTGTTATGTCAATGGCGGCCATGGTCAGATTGGCATTACGTAGTTATGTTAAACCCGGCTTCCCTATTGGCTTCGCTCGTCGGAAGGATGCAAAAGGTGACTTACGACCAGTCTTAAGTCAAGGATTAGAGTAAAGGCAGTAGGCAGAGAATTCCTCGACTTATGACCACAGTTGAGCTCAACATTTCTCTTGTCAAGTGAGGGTTGGACTAGATGACCTACAAGGTCCCTTCCAACTCTGTTAATCTGATGACCACAGTGTCTCCATCCTGACAGGAGATTCCTCTCAACGTCTCCAACAGGCTCATGGACAAGCTAAGCAGGTGACAAATCTCTCTACAGGTAGTCCTCGCCTTATGACCACAAGGTCCCTCCCAACTGTTCTGATTGATTGATTGATTGATTTAATGTAGAAAGAAGGAGAAATTTTCTGGCAGTGGGGACAATTCACCAGTGGAACACTCTGCCACAAGACATTGTGGATACTTCATCGCTGGAGATTTTTAAGAAGAGACTGGAGAGCCACTTGTCAGAAACAGTGCTTGGGCAGGGGGTTGGACTAGATGGCCTCCAAGGTCCCTTCCAATTCGGTTGTTCTGTATTCTAAGGTTGCATTTCTTACCCCAAGCTCTTTCGTACCTCCCAGGGCGTTGGAGTAACCTCTACAAGCTCCCCTACAACTGGATCGGGACCGGCCACGTGGTGTATCAAGGCTCCTTTTACTACAACCGAGCCTTCACCAGGAACCTCATCAAATACGACCTGCGCCAGCGTTTCGTGGCCGCCTGGTCCTTCCTGGATGACGTGGTCTACGAGGACACCACGCCCTGGAAGTGGCGCGGACACTCCGACATCGACTTGGCCGTGGACGAGAGCGGGCTGTGGGTGATCTACCCGGCGATGGATTCTGGTTATTCCCAGCAGGAGATCATCGTGGTGAGCAAGCTGGATCCGGCCGACCTCTCCACGCGGAAGGAGGCCACGTGGAAGACCAGCCTCCGACGCCACGCTTATGGGAACTGCTTCGTGGTCTGCGGCGTGCTTTACGCCGTAGACGAGTGCAACGCCAGGGAGAGCCACGTGTCCTACGCTTACGACACCCACACCGCCACCGAAGTCCATCCCGAGCTGCCCTTCCGCAATGAATTTGCCTTCACCACCCAAATTGACTACAACCCCAAGGAGAAAGTCCTTTACGGCTGGGATAACGGCCACCAAGTGACCTACAAACTACAATTTGTGGCTTGAGGATGGGAAGCCCCGAAATGCCATGGGTGGGTCCCTGGAGGGGATTGTTTGTGGGTGCAGGATGGCCCCGCGAGAGAGAGACTCTGATGGAACGCATTTGACGGAAGGGATGGGGGCCGACGTCTGGCAGGTGACGCAATCTCTCAGGGACATTTGGGGTGCCTCCAGCAGCTGGCAGAGTTGGGGGGGGGCGACAGCAATTAGAAAGCTGCCATTTGTCGCAGGCTTCCTTCTTGTGACGTTTCTCGCAAAGAGGGTACCCCCTTAAAATAATATGCATTTTATCAGAGTGCGCTCAGTGGTACTAGTTGAGACAACCCAGGAGCAATCGCATCAAACAGAGAATAAATAGTGGTTTATCTATACAAAAGAATATACATACACATACTAGGCAAAGGCCAAACAATCAGCAGCTACAGCAAGAAAGATCACACGGAGAGAGAGATACACCCTAACAGGTCCTCTCTTATAATACAGGCTCTTAATGTGGTAACAGTCAACTAACCTTGCTGATTCATTACTACCATTGCATAATCATTACAGCATTACAGAAGCTGGCCAGCTATTAAATCATCATTAGCCTGACACATTTTTTGCAATCTAAGCAATTTTTCTGCAACGTTTACACAGTGAGGTTTAAGCCTTTGACTGAGTGGGAAGGTTCAGGCATCGAGCTAAGTTCGAAGAGTCGTTTTCTTTTGACAGAGAGAGTTGTAACTATCATCGCAGGAGTCCTTGAGTTACGGCCATCATTGAGCACCCCCCCCCCCCAATTTACATGGCTACAGGAAATTTGTTAAGTGAGTTTTTATGACTTGTTAAGTGAATCTGGTCTCCCGCGTTGACTGAAGATTGCAAAAGGGGATTGCGTGATACCGGCACTGTCATAAATGTGAGTCAATTGTCAAGCATCAGAATGTAAATCACGTGATTGTGGGGATGCTGCAATGGTCGTAAGAGTGAAAAAAAAGTCCCTTTTTTCAGTGCTGTTGAACGGTCACTAAAGGAACTGTTGTTAAGTTGGGGTTAAGTTGTTAAGCTGTATCTGTAAGGGCACCACGTGAAGGGGATGAGAGAATTTAGTGGTCAGTACAGGTAGTCCTTGACTTATGACCACAATTAAGCCCAAATCGCCCATTGTTAAGTGGGACGTGAAGTGAGTTTCCCCCTATTTTGTGACTTTTCCTGCCTGAGTTGTTAAGTGAATCCCCACCNACTTCTGTTCCATGGGTTGATTGTTCTCACTGTCAGAAAAGTCCTCCTTATTTCCAGATTGAATCCCTCCTTGATCAGTTTCCATCCATTGTTCCTTGTCTGGTCTTCAGGTGCTTTGGAGAATAGCTTGACCCCCGGTCTCTCTGTAGCAGCCCCTCAAGTATTGGAAGACTGCTATGATGCATCCCCTGGTCCTTCTCTTCCCTAGACTAGCCATGCCCAGTTCCTGCAACCGTTCTTCAGGTGTTTTAGTCTCCAGGCCTTTGATCATCTTAATCAGATTCAGATTAATGGAATTGGAAGAGACCTTGTAGGTCATCTAGTCCAACCCACAGCCCAGGCAGGAGACCCTTCACCATTTCTGACAGAGGGCAGTCCAGTCTTTTCTTGAAAGCCTCCAGTGATGAAGCTCCCACAACTTCTGAACGCATCTTCTCTTCCTTTGAATATAGAATGCCAGAGTTGGAAGGGACCTTGTAGGTCATCTAGTCCAACCCCCTCCCCCAAGCAGAAGACCCTACACCATTTCTGAAAGATGGCGGTCCAGTCTCTTCTTGGAAGCTTTCAGGGATGAAGCTCCCACAACCTCTGGAGGCAATTTCTGTTCCATTGGTTGGTTGTTTCTCACTGTCAGAAAATTCCTCCTTATTTCTAGGCTGAATCTCTCCTTGGTCAGTTTCCATCCATTGATCCTTGTCCGGCCTTCAGGTGCTTTGGAAAATAGGTTGACCCCCCCTCCTCTCTGGGGCAGCCCCTCAAGTATTGGAAGACTGCTATCCTGTTCCCCCTGTTCTTTCTCTTCACTAGACTAGCCAGGCCCAGTTCCTGCAACTGTCCATCGTATGTTTTAGCTTCCAGGTCTTTGATCATCTTAGATAGATTCAATTTAACAGAGACCTTGTAGGTCATCTAGTCCAACCCCCAGCCCCATTTCTGACAGAGGGCAGCCCAGTCTCTTCTTGAAAGCCTCCAGGGATGAAGCTCCCACAACTTCTGTTCAACTTGGTTGATTGTTCTCACTGTTTCTCCTTATTTCCAGGTTGAATCTCTCCTCAAGTACAAGCTTGTACTCAATCCGGATAAGACCGAGTGGCTGCTGTGTTTCCCTCCTACTAATTGGCCAAGTGTTCCATCTCTCAGGATGGGGGGGTCAAACACTACGCCCCTCAGACAGGGTTCGCAATTTGGGAGTCATCC